CGGGGGGGGGTTAACTACATAAAAGTAGTTTCTTCGGATTCTTCAGATAATTCATAGTTGAAATTGTGAAACAAAGTTTTATACTCAAGGAAATTATCTATTATTTAAATTTTAATTTATACTGTTAGCATTTGAAATCTATTTTTGATTTGTCCATACAAAGTAAAAAACAAAAATATAGCGGGCTTTCATGTTTCTTCGCAACTGCAGACAAAAGAAATGGCTACATTTAGAATCTCTGACATAGAAATTAGGTTCTGTAGTTCTCGTTACAGGAAAGCAGTGCTGTTATAAGAAACCTTTTTTATAAGAATCTCTAACATAGAAATTGGTATTTCCCGTGTACATTCTCGCATTAATTATGGATGAATGTATGATTCAGTTTTAGCAGGTTTTGATGTGGGCCTTAAACTCTGCTTGCAGGCTTTGTACAGAGATAGAATCAGAGCTAAGTTCCACAAGGTAACAGAACAAATTGAGAAGGCACTGAGTCAGATTTCCTATGATAAACTTGATTTGTCAGAGGAAGTTCAAGAGCAGGTACCTTTTGCAACCAATTGATTAGTTTTTTATTGTCTTTGATTGTGGGTTTTTCTGAGTGTTTATACTTCCACGAGAGAAACACTTAGATATAAAGAATAGCAAACCACCTAACAAACTGAAGAACATTGATTTATTGTAATCCAGATTGAACTCGTGCATGCTCAATTCAAAAGGGCAAAGGGAAGAATGGATTCGCCGGATTTCCAACTATACTTGGATTTGGCTACAGCACAGAAACTAAAAGACCCTGATCCAATCGTTCTAAAAAGACTTTCAGAAAAGCTGCAGCTCAAGACCGTTAATGATATAAAGAAAGAATCAATTGCTCTGCACGAAATGGTTATCTTCGCCGATGGAGATCCAGGAGAAGGCCTTGAGGATATGTCAGCTTTGCTCAGAAAACTTAAGGACTGCATACTCACAGGATGTTCTGAAGGAGAAACATCTGAGAATGACAAGAGCTCTGTTAAGCACAGGTCTCCTGTCATTCCAGATGATTTCCGGTGCCCAATTTCTCTCGAACTGATGAAAGATCCGGTCATTGTCGCCACTGGGCAGGTTCGGACCTCCCCTTAGCTAAGCAGTCTTCATTTGATTTTAATATTTGTTAAAGAATATCAACCCATTCAATGACCTCACCTTAACAGCTTAAGCTTTTAGGTTGAATGGTTCTTTGAGATGTGTTAAAGAATATCAACCTATTCAAGGACCTCACCTTAACAGCTTAAGCTTTTAGGTTGAATGGTTCTTTGAGATGGTATCAGAGCTATTTTGACCAAGTGGTCTAGTGTCCGATCCTCGTTACCCCCATTATAATTAAATAAGTTTCAGCACAAGGTATGGGTGGACCTGTGCTTATTCACGCTTCAAGCCCAATGGGCTTTTGTGTGAGGGGGCGTGTTAAAGAATATCAACCTATACCTTAACAATATTCTTAACTTAATCACTAGTTCACTTCTTTTTGCAGACTTATGAACGTTCCTGCATTCAGAAATGGCTGGATGCTGGGCACAAGACTTGTCCCAAGACACAGCAGACTCTATTGCACACAGCCCTAACACCAAACTATGTGTTGAAGAGCCTCATTGCTCAGTGGTGCGAGAGCAATGGTGTAGAACTGCCAAAGAAACAAGGGAGTTGTAGAAACAAGAAGTGTGGAAGCTCTGCATCAGATTGTGATAGAGCAGCCATCAATGCATTACTACAAAAGTTATCAAACGGGTCACCTGATGAGCTGAGGGCAGCTGCTGGTGAGCTCCGATTGCTAGCAAAGAGGAATGCAGATAACCGAATATGTATTGCAGAGGCAGGAGTTATCCCACTGCTTGTAGAATTACTATCCTCACCTGATCCAAGGACGCAAGAGCATGCTGTCACAGCACTTCTCAATCTGTCAATAAATGAGACCAATAAAGGTATTATTGTTAACGCAGGAGCCATACCTGATATAGTGGATGTGCTCAGAAAAGGCAGCATGGAAGCAAGGGAAAATGCAGCTGCCACCCTTTTCAGTTTGTCTGTCATAGATGAGAACAAGGTGGCAATAGGGGCGGCAGGGGCTATCCCTGCTCTTATTGATCTGCTTTGTGAAGGAAGTCCAAGAGGAAAGAAAGATGCTGCCACTGCAATTTTTAACCTATCAATTTATCAGGGAAACAAGGTGAGGGCCGTGAGGGCTGGGATTGTGGTGCCACTGATGAAGTTGCTTACAGATGCTGGTGGAGGGATGGTGGATGAGGCACTTGCAATACTGGCAATTCTTGCATGCCACCAAGAAGGCAAGGTAGCAATTGGTCAGGCTAACGCCATCCCAGTTCTAGTTGAGGTGATGAGGTCTGGGTCGCCACGCAACCGGGAGAATGCTGCTGCTGTTTTGTGGTCACTCTGTACATGTGATATGCAGCATCTGCAAATTGCAAGAGATCATGGGGCAGAAGAGGCATTGAAGGAATTGTCAGAGAATGGTACAGACCGAGCAAAGAGAAAAGCAGGAAATCTTCTAGAACTCATTCGTCGAGCAGTTGATGTGGGTGGAGACCATGAAATCTGAATCATCTACTGCAAGAGATGTCTTCTGCTGCTGTTAGAACCAATGTATTTATGGGTTCTTAAACAGGAATCCAGTCTCTGTGTATGCATCTGTTTTGTGTATATGAGGTAAATTAAAAGATTGAGTTGTTAATTTAATAGATACTAAGTGATTCAAATGTTTAGAATGAGTGTCTTGTTTCCAGGAATGTAGATACATGCATTGTTACTGAAGATCAAGGAAGCATTGTGAGTGATGTTTCGAAGTAAAGATACTTCCCGGTGCCAGAGCAATATTAAGAATATTAGCATTTCTCAGCACATTGCAATTTGCAAGGATACGAAGGAATTCCGGCAAAATGATGTCACTTTTACATAATTTATTTCATATAAATCATTGAAGAAAAATCCAATTCCTCTGTGGCTATGGTTCTGTCAACACTGCGAGTGTAATTAGTAAATTTAGGTAGCAGGCCCATTTTCCCGAAATGTTTCGAGTGTGTTACATGCATACAAATACAACCCCTTCTTTCGAGTCTTTTTTTTCTGTCTGATTAAACAGAAAGAAGTAATCTACCAATAGAAAAGAAATTGATCTTCAAATTAATTTTCTTAGTTGTTGTTGTTGATCGGTTAGAGATTTTATGGGCTAATAATAATGAAAATTAAAAAATACCCATTGTAAAGCACAATATTTGAAGATCAACCACTAGTTTGAGACATTGAAAATGAATTTTTCTTGTTCAATAGCACTTTCATAGAGGGTGTGAGATCATTTTGCAAAAAAAAACAAAAGAAATGATAAAATCTATATCTTTACTATTATAAAAAGTATCAATGGAGTCTTATGTTTTTAGAACTTTTCTTAACTAAAACACCTCTTTTTTTTGAAATATGATGCCTTTTTATTGTAAGGGGAAAATGTAATTTGAATACTATTATTAAGTTCATTCAATTCCCTTTTATTAAGTCTCACATTTAATGTATTAACCCTCATACATCATTGAATTATATGTTTAAGTCATTTTTATTTCTCATCACTAAACTCTACTAATTAAATCAATACATAATAATTTTAATAATATAAAAATTTATATTTCTAAGGAAACAAAACCGTATTCTCTTTTAGGTGGTGGTAAAAAGTTCAACCATTTGGGTCAAATGGGCTAACCCATGATACCATAATTAAACAATAAAATTCAAAAATATAAAAAATAAAGAAATATATAGAAAATTTTGGGCACATGCATGATAAACAAATAATATTTTTATTAATGATGGAAATAGAATATAAAATTTAGAACCAACTAGAAATGAAACCATTTTCAATTCCCTCTCAATAAGTCTCATATATAAAGTATTAACTCTTATTCTCTCATTAAATCCTATAGTTAAGATATATTTGTTTCTTATCATTAAATTCTACTAATTAAATCTACAATATTAATTTTAATAGTATGAAAATCAATGTTTAGAAAATTAATTAACCTAACAAACCATTTTCTTCCTACTCGATGATGGGTAAGCAGTTCAATCATTTAAATCAAATGGATTAAACAATGGTACCTTAATTAAATAATAAAAAATTTAAAAATAAATATAGATAAAATATAAAAATACATAAAACAAAAAAGAATTCAGCATGTCTCTAATATTATATATTCATTATAGTAAACAAAAATAAGTATGATATATAATAATTTGAAATTTCTATGTGCAACACACGTGCCCAGTTTCTAGTACAACAAAAATAGAAATAAGGGAAATATAAAAAAGTACAAAAAATACAAGATAAACAATAAACATGAAAAATAAGAAAATACAAAAAATAGAGAATACAACAAAGAAAATGAGCAAATATCAAAAACAAGTAAATACAAAAAAAAACCTAAATATGCAGAAAAAAAAAACTAAAAATGCTTAGGAAACTTAGAAAATACAACAAAAAATTTAGAGAATTGCAAAGAAAAAGAAAAACAGGAAAAAACAAAAAAAATACAAAAACAATTGGAAACACGGAAAAGATCCAATAAGAACCAATATAATTCATTGATTAGATGAATTTAGAGGAAATGGTAGGTAATCCCCAATAATTCAAAGGTTATTGCCAAACAGAGTTCTTTGCTTACAACAAATGTTCAAGTCTAAAGGTTTATTTATCAAATAAATGCTAAAGGCATAGGCATTTTCTTCTCTCAACCCCCAAACTTCAGATAGGCATTTAAGTAATTTTACCTCTATCACTAAGATGGGGGCCAAAGTGCTGGAATCTGAAAGCTTAAGGTGGGCTTTGTCACAAATGAAGTTTCAGGGAGTTGAGTATCATTACCCGATAAATTAACATAAGGATAATTTCGGGTTTTAAAATGTGTAGTCCAATACAATACATGCTAGTCACATGAGAATACTTCACAGTTCACATAATGGTAACAGCAACGGGTAAAGTGCTGAAATCTTACAGAGAGATCTTTATTGCAAAAGGGCGAAGTGTCATAACCCCTAATTGGGTGTCTATAAAGTATAAAGTATAAACTACTTTTTTCTTTAATTTTTTAGGTTGCATTTGAAAACGATGCAAATGGAGTATAAATCGCAGTTCAGGGTAAATTTGCACTATGGTTCACTTTTGCCTGTGTTTGGTAACATTTCATTTATGTATTGACAAATGATAGACCAATGCATATTTACATTGATAATAAAAGTACATCAATAAAAAAGAAGTAAATTTGCGTTCAAGTGGGTTTTTGATAAAAAAAAAAGTATATGCTTTATTGAAATTCATGTTTGCATCCATTACAGCTAAAAGTTTATTTGGTAAGAAGGTGAATTTGTCAGTACAAATTAAACTAATCCAACTTTACAATTTATATGAACTGTATTACACTCTACATATTTGCATTCACACTTATTTACATCGTTTCCAAACGCAAACTTAGGGTAAAAGACTTAAACCTCCCCTGAGTGATGTCATTGTCCCCATCTATAGTAATTCATCAAAATCTGTTAAAATGAGGCATCATACGTGGGTTATTTTTTTTGGAAAATCCAATTTTTCCCTTTGATCCCTTTTTAGCAATTCAAATCATACTTTCTCGTCATTTTCTACGATGCTGTTTAACTCCATAACAAGCACAAGCTTCACGTCTACAATGAATTGGGTCTACTCCTCTGCTTTCATCACAAATAATAAGGGTACTATGCTCAAAACTGTTCTTTGAAACATTGAATTCAAAGTGTTGGGTTTGTTTCGCTCTTAGGCCAAATTTTCGAGTGCTTATGTCAAAAAAAAATGCTTAAAAACAAGTGCTGCATTTGATACTCAGGTTTTTCAAATTTTTATTTTAAAAAATAAATACTTATTTTATATAGGGTGTTTGGTGGTCCTTTTCTACAATAAGCACTTGTTTTTTCAAAAAGACAACTTTCACCCCCGCTTAACAAGTCATGCATCCTTAAATTTAAAAGGATGGCATCCACAAAAGTAATTTTAATGGTGAGGGAGAGAAAATAATTTTTCAAAACGCCTGTTGTTTACCCTTCATTCCTGCTGAAACCATAAAGATTCGATAGTCACACAAGGTAAATGATTTAGGTTTAGGGTGAACTAAAATTCAAAGAACGAAAGATTTAACTAACCTGGACGCAGTTCGAACCTCAAAGTTGATAAACGCCAATCTGAACTGAAACAGGGGAAAAATATACATTAATGTTTGATACACAAGTGTTGATAAAGAAAAACAATAGATTAAAGATGGAGAAAACAGGCTATGTTTGGTTTGAAGAAAAAAGTAGGAAAAATAAAGGAAAGGTAAGGAAACCTTTACAAACTTTGTATAGGTTTTCATACCTTTCCCTACCTTTTCCTTCAAACCAAACATAACCTAAGGGAAACATATACATATACAACCTGAAATAGAAGAAAACCACAAAGCAAAAAAATAAGGTTTTAAACCGACCCGAAAATGGAATCGCTTTGGACACCAATTTTCAGGTCAAACGGTTCAAACAGTTTAAACACTTTAACATGTGATATGTCATCTTATCCATTAGATTGAAATATTAGGATAGGATGTATATAAATATCATGAGAAAGAATGTTTGAGAATAAGAGTGAGAAACTGTCAGCTGAGAGAGTTTAGAGGGAAAAAAAAGGACAGAGAGAGAAGAATGAGGATGAGGAGGAGGAGGAGGAAATCACTTGCAACGGCGAACTACAGTGGCAATGGCAATGATAAACTACAGCAGCAACGGTGGCAATGAAAGTAGATCTGCTCTCTCTCTCTCTCTCTTTTTTCATAGATCTCTAAACCTGAGATCTCTTAGATCTTTCTCTCACACATATCTCCCGCCTAATCTCTCTCTCTCTCTATTAGATCTCAGATCTAAGAGATCTAAAGTTTTGAACTTCTCTTTTCATTCTTTTTTTCTTCCTGTTTTGTTGTAAATAATAAACCGTGAACCGTTGTCTAGGTCGAAAGGTTTAGCAATCAAACCATCTGGGTCAATGGTTCGTTGATAAATTCAACGGTTTTTTGCCAGGGACCAAGTTTAGGGTAAAATGGAACCGATCACCTGGACAGTTCCCGATCCAAACGGTCTGACCATCTAAATCAACGATGATTCGAAAACATTGCAAAAAACGCAAGTCTTAATAGATCGAAGATTGGTAAACAAACCTAGTAACCGGTTTCCGCCATTGGTAGCCAAAATCCACCGCTGGTAATCGATCTCTGCCACTGGACGCAGTGGAGAAACCCCAATCTAGACGAGAAGATTAAAGATCGAATCAGCCCCCCACAACGTCCCACAACACATCACCACCGTGTGTTTGAAAAATCTCCCAATGATAGCATCATCATTCCTGATATTATCATCGGGAGATGTTTCCAATACACGGCGGGATGTGCTGTGACACGTTGTGGGGGGCTGATTTGAACTCAGAAGATTAACCCCACAATGAAACAATGAGAAGATGGAGAAGAGTAGAGACCATTGTGAAAAATAACGAAACAAATGAAAGAAGAAATTCGAAATAAAGGCAAAGGTGAAGATAACCCCAATGGAGAAGAGCAGTAATCGGCCAAGCTACACCAGTTCTGCCGCTGGTTGCAGATGGCAAAGGAGAAGAAAGCCTCGATGTGGCAAACCCTATGTTTTTACCTTTGAAGGGCATAATTGGAAATCTCAAAAATAAATAGGGACAGTTTTGGTAGAGAAAATTCAAATATGTGTTTATTGTTTAAGAACTTAAAGAAACTAAAAATTTCAGCTTATTGTTTAAGCACTTATTTAGGGCTTATTTTCCAAACATCAACAAGTGCTTAATGGTATGGACCCAG